ATATATATATATATATATATATATATATCATGAAACCATCACCTCAGTAAGGCAGCATACCTTTCCATAACTCCCGGAAGTTTCCTTATACCCCTTGCAATCCATCCCTGCCTCACACCATCTGCAGAAAACCATCAAACTGCTTTTTGTTGCTCTTGATTACGTCAACCTGATATTTCTCAAAATATATGTACTAAAATTTACAACTGAGCAAAATTAGAAATTTGAATTTTGTTTCTTTAGGAACAAAGACGTGAAATTCTGCATAATGTGATAAAAAATAAACTGGAATGTGATATAAACAAGTTCACTGATCTTGACCTGCAACGTATAGCTAAAGAAACTGAAGGGTTTGTGGCTAGAGATTTTACAGTGCTTGTGGATCGAGCCATACATTCTCGTTTGTCTCATCAGAGTATATCCACCAGGGAAGGTATGTTTTACTATTCAACTCAAAATTTGGAATCTCCGTTCCATGATGAAGGAACGTAATTGTAGTATGGCAAAAGTTAAATATATTCCATTTACTAAAATAAGCAGTTATTTGAATAGAATATTTGAATTGCCAGCTAAGTTGATGGTATATCTTAAAAATTCATATATGGATATGACTACCAAAAGAAGTTTTATTTGTTTTTAAACAGAATTAGTTTTAACAACACTGGACTTCCAAAAGGCTCTCCAAGGATTTATTCCTGCATCTCTGCGAAATGTCAACCTGCATAAACCTAGAGATTTAGGCTGGGATAAGATTGGTGGATTACATGAAGTTCGGCAGATACTCATGGATACTATCCAGTTACCAGCCAAGGTACTTAAAAAATAAATAAATAAATAAAAACCAAGTAATTACTCCCAGAAGCACCACTGAATTATTGGTTTTGACTTTATGTGTTGGCTTGGCAAGCCTGATTCAACAAGTATTTACTGAGTTACCAAATAAATGTCCAGCACTATTTTTGGTACTCTAACAGATTTTTAAAGTATTTAATATACTCTTTTTCCATAAGAAGCTAATAAAGAACGCTGAGGTGATATTTACAGTAAATGCATTTTGATGTGACTGTTATAGTTCTTGTGTTTGGTTTGACTCACTCAGATTGTACTAAACAAAATGAATTGTCAACTGGGATTTGAAAAGAAACAGGAATAGGCTAAGAGGTGGAAGAGTCACCTAGGTCCTCAGAACTGACGAATTAAGCAAGGTTTCCAGACTCTGGGTGTCAGTCCTGGAAAGGCAGAATTATCAGGCAGCATAGACCAGGCAGATGGCACGATAAAGGGAGCAGATATAGACTGTTCTTCATAACGTCAGAAGGCAGAGTCTAACAGGTAGTGTGCTGGGATCAGAAACCTGAGACATAAGGACCATGGCTTGAGATCAGGGGCCCATGCAAAGAGATAAAGAAATGGGTAAAGACCTTAGTTAATTTAACTAGATGGCAAGTGCTGGGAACTGTGGCCGGCAGGGCCTGGGAAATGAGTGCAGCTCAAGACTGGATTAAAGCCTGTTTGAGAGAACGTGGGTGTGGAAACACTTGTCAGCAGGATCATTACCCCAAATGCTGGTCCTGGGCACCAGACATCAGTATCCAGATACATGGAGGCCACCTGCATAACTGCTGACCTCGGGGCCTCTTTCATTAGAATGGAGGTAGAGATGGAGTTAGAATTTCATCAGCGGGCGGAACTAAATAGGCATACCTAATGTTTGGCTCACCTGTTCAAACTTTCTTTGCCCTCTGAGAAGTTGATGATTTAGAAGGTAACTTAGAAGCAATCATTTGTTCAGCATGGAAACTCTTGGGAGATTTTACTATTATCATTACACAAGCTTCTCTATTATTTCCTTTCTTTCCTTGAATATACTTGAATATACATAGCTGTCATAACTTACTCCGTGAACCATATAAGAGGAAGGCAGTAGACTGGTTAAAAGATTGGTTTTTAGTTTCTTAATGCAGTACTTTTATAATGTTTTATTAAAAATAGGAAAAAATGAAAAGAAGTTCTGATGCAGCTTTTGTATTTAATGTAGACTGTATCCCCTGCTCCAACTGGGAAAAATCTAGAGTAGTTCCTCTGAGTTAATTTATTATTTTGAGTAGGAATTTTATTTTCTATCATTGCACTGTTAATAAAGGTGGCAGTTATCACCATCTGAATACTTTTTTCTATATATTACTCTTTGGCTGCTACTGTCATTTGTTGTAGACTTGAGCTCTTTGTTATATTTTTGTATTTTTCAGTACCCAGAATTATTTGCAAACTTGCCCATACGACAGAGAACAGGAGTATTATTGTATGGTCCTCCTGGAACAGGAAAAACCTTACTAGCTGGAGTAATTGCACGAGAGAGCGGAATGAATTTTATTAGTGTCAAGGTATGTTTTGCTTTAACTTGCTTTTTTCTCTTTATTTTTTAATTTAGGTAAAATTTATATAACATTTAATTAACTGTTTTAAAGTGTACAATTCAGTGGCGTTTAATGCAGTCACAATGCTGTATAACCTCTCTCTAGTTCTAAACTTTTTCATCCCATTCTCCATTCCATCTCATGGCAACCACTAATCTGCTTTCTGTCGCTATGGATTTGCCTGTTCTGGATATGTCATATAAAAGGAGTTATGAACTATGTCATCTTTTGTGTCCAGCTTCTTTGACTTAGCATAATGTTTTCAAGGTTCATCCAAGTTATCATATGTACTTTAGTCCTTTTGACGCCTGAATGAATTCCATTGTGTGGCTATGCCACAGTTTATCTGTTCATCATTGGTAGACATTTGGGTTGTTTCCACCTTTTGGCTATTATGAATAATGCTGCCATAAACATTTGTGTACAAATGTTTTCATTTCTCTTGAATATGTACAAAGGAGTGTAATTGCTGGGTTATATGGTTAATTCTATGTGTAACTTTTTGAGGAACTGCCAAGCTGTTTTGCACAGTGATTACACCATTTTACATCCTCACCAGCAATGTAGGAGGCTACCTCTTTCTCCATGTCCTTCCAACACCGTTTATGATTCCTGGTGTTAGGTTAGTCCTATATTTGGAAAGCTAGTAGGAGTAGTGATCCATTTATTAGTTAAAGCTGTGTGCAAAATTGAATAATCATCTACCTCCCTTTTGTAGTGCTTATTATGTTCTTGCTTAAGGCAAATCTTCATGCATTATAAATAGAATTTTGCATAAATATTCAGATAAAAGACCAAACTGTACTTGAAAGGAGAAGAAAACCTAGAAGACTAGGGTCTGGAGACCACACTGAGGCAGGAAGCTGGGGTTTTTATGGTTCTGTTATTTGTTGGCTATATTTCACCCTTGCTTGTGTCACACTAGGTCTAAGTTTTTTCATATGTAAGATGAGTGTGGTAATTAAAGGACATGCTAACAGATCATTTCAGGTAATGCCTCATAGACCACCACTTGTGTGTCATTATTGTCTGGGGTCTGGTATCTTAGTTGTATAGTTTCAGCATCCAGCAATATGGGTTTCCAAAGAGTGATTAGATTGCAAGGCAAAGGAATCATATATTGTAGCCTTATTCAAAATTGACTTATAATCTGAAAGTCAGTTTAGTAATTTGCAGTTGAGTTACACCTACCCTCTTTATATCACATGATTTTTTTTGTGAGCTGATTACGTGGGTACCCTGGCAATACTGAAGAAACAGTATAATTTTTAAATTTTCCTCTTTTTTCCAGATTCTGGAATAACTATGACTATACTTTTCTTTTTTAACTTGTCACTAGAATGTAGTTTCACTATTTTTTAAAAAACCAATTTTCAAAATTATAGCTTGTGAATATTGTTGTATTTTAGATTGCTTCATTAGGGAGGACATCTGACCCCTTTAGTAAATCTTCAGATCACAATTTGGCATGAGTTCTCAATGGAGAGGTTTCAGTAGAGAGATGATTGTCTGTAGGCAGCTCCTAGGGTCAATCCTAGGAAGCTTGCGTCAAATATGGGGGCCTCTCACGGACACCAGTGTGTTGCCTTGTTCCCAGTATTTTGCCTTAGCTATTTCTTGTTCTGTCTTGTATAGTTCTCTCACTGTACTAAGGAAATCTAATTAAATGCTAGTATATTAATAGTTATCTAGATGGCAGAGTATTAGAAATTTTTTTTTTTTGGTCACATATCCTGATCAGTATTTGATCTTTTTCAGGTAATGATTTTTTCCTGGAAATCACACTAGGGCCTATTCAGTTTTCAAAAAGATCCCAATTTAAGGAAAGACTATCCTCATTATTGATTTAGTTATATTTAGTAAAGTTTGTTTTGAAAGTTTTTTTCAGTTGACTCTTAGGAAAAATGATATTCTTCAACTGCTGTACAAATAAATTGGTTTCAGGAGTTGAAGATGATAATTAAAGTAATTCATGTCTCATTACATACATTTTGGAGTCTCCAAAATTTTGAGATAAAAGGAACATTTTCCCTTTGTAAACCATTGTCACTTTACTAAACAAATAATTATTCAGTACTTATTACGTGGCAGTCAGTATTTTGGGCACAGTGGATTCAATAATGAACAAAACTTTCTTTTGGAGCTTACATTCTAATGGAGAGAGACAATAACAGTCACATTCAATATATAATATGCCGTCAGGTTGTACTAGATGCTATATAGGAAGACAAGTAGGATAAGAAGGTGTAGCGTAACTAGAGTGGGTTATAGATGGGGTTGTCAGGTAAGTCCTTTCTGAGGATGTGGCATTTTGTCAGAGATCTAAATTAAATGAAGCAGTAAGCCATGAGACTATATGGGAATGAATGTTCTAGACAGAGGTAACACCAAGTGTAGAACTTGTGGTATGATATTTATTCTAGCCAAATAATTTTAAAAATGTATTTAAGAGACATTTATTTAAGCGTATTAATGTTTTTCCATGACTGTGTTTAGACTTCGTCATAAACAAAAATTATTTTGTTTTTAAATAATTTTATCTTAACTCTAATTTAATTTTATCTCATCTAATAGGGGCCAGAGTTACTCAGCAAATATATTGGAGCAAGTGAACAAGCTGTTCGGGATATTTTTATTAGGTTGGTTCCCTATGAGTGTTTTTTAAGTAATTGACTATTATTATTTATCAATCAATGTTTTTTGGTCTTCATTTTTTTTTTTAAACTGATGTTTGAAACCTATTATTTATGTAGATTATTAATAAGCTAGAAAACAAAGATTCTCTGTTTCACCAAATACCACTTAAATATAAAATATTTTCAGTATTAAGTTTTGGAAATTATTTGGTTTTATGTTTACAAAAGAAATATTCCTGAAATGCTAAAAGTAGAATCATAAGTGGTTATTCAAAGGAATCTCAAAGTAGATCATTATATGAACCACATAATTACTCTAGGTTCATTTTTTTAAATTAAGATTCCATGTGGCCAACTTAATTAAAATACAGTGTAACTGCATTTATATAAAAATACATATGAATACAGAAGCTAACTTTTTTTTTAAAGATTTTTTTTTTTAATTGGGGAA